TCTCTCTCTCTCTCTCTCTCTCTCTCTCTCTCTCTCTCTCTCTCTCTCTCTCTTTCATTCTCGCTTTCTCGCTAAAAATCCCTTTCTCTCTTATCATATGAGATGCGCTCGACACCGATATATTATATCAATAAAATACCGTCGCCAGATAGGGACACGTGCAGACTCATCACTCCATCTCGTCATTATCGCTTCGGAACTCACGCACATCCATCAACTCGCATCCGCACCATCCAATCTTGTTGTCTTTGTATTGTGTTTGATAGCTTTCTAGTCAAATCAAATTGCACGACAGTACAACCGTGGGGTGATCTGTAAACAACAAAAGCGAGCCAAATATCAGTCACCGTCGCTCATCGGTGCTCGTTCTTTTTGGAGAGGGGGAGTTTCCAGCGGACGTTTCAAATCGCGTACGCGGGGAATCCGAGGGACAGAAAAACAATGCTACGATAAAAGATAGTGCATTCCTATCAACATTGAAGTGATTCTTCAATGCTCACGTTCTCTCTCTCTCTCTCTCTCTCTCTCTCTCTCTCTCTCGCTTTCATTCTCTCTATCTTCCGCCCTCCCCCTTCTCTGTTTCCTTTAATAATTCTGTCCTACCTACATCCTATCCTTGCTATGAAAAGCTCGCCAGTTAAATTAAACTTAACAACCGAAGAATGTATGGTGAGATAGTAAAATCGAATATGCATGATAAAGGCGGAATGCGGAAAAGCACAAAAAAAAAAAGAACAAAAATAATAAAGATAAATTTCATCCCTTTAACGGAATGCGAACCAAAATCAAACTCAAAATAATATGCAGTGTTAGTGCATCGCGCGTCGATTAAAATGATCAAATCGCATCGAGAACTTTGCGAATTAATTAAAGACGGCGCATAAAACAAATCGAGAAATATAAAGAAAGGTACTCACCAACTGGACGTAGCGTTGGCAGCAGTCTTGAGCTTTCGAATCTCTTTCGCAGCCCAGCTCGCCAGCTGTTTAGTTTTGTGAGTGCGTGACTTCTTACCCTTGATCAGCAAATCATTAAGCGGCTCGGTCTCCACCATAGGCAATAATTTGGTTCCGAATACCGTGACGAGATCGCCTAGCAGACCTACCGCGGCCGACACATTACCCTCGGAATGTTCGCGATCTTGCGCTATCGAGGTGATAAATTGTATAATGTACGGCACATGCGGCTCGATAAGAGAAATAGCAACATCCGGACAATTATTCCCATCACCGCGGAGACCTTGAACTATGCCAGTGTAAGCTTCAAGTACGCCCTCGCGTAACTCGTTGAGATAATCGATCATATCGTAATCGCTTCTATCTACGTTAGCCTGTGATGCTTGTACCAACGTCTGCAATACAACGTCCAAATATATTTTAAATTCTGGTCCGATACTCATGGCGATGTCACCGAAAGCCGAAAAGATCTGCGGTTTAACTGAGCGATGCACGGCGTTATTGCTGAGGTTCTCCAACAACAGAGTCATAATTTCATCGCAATAAGGAAGCATCTTGTTTTTGAGAGCGCGGCAGATATCACCAGTGAGACCGACCGCTGCGCAACACACCTGATATTCGGCATAGTTCTTCAAGCCGAGACAGAGATAAGGTTTGAATGCCTCCATATACTTCAAGAAACCTTCGCCTAACACCTCAACCAAAGTCGAAACTGCCATAAGCGCATCCTCCTGTACGCCACCTGATTTGCAGGAATTTGAATTAAACATGGCAAGCAGAGCAGTCATTATTACATCGGATATTTGCGGAGCGTCCTCTGTAGTGACTTTACGCAAGACTGATTGTAAAGTCGCACAAAGCAACGACTGCAAATCGTTATATTGGGCACGATCCGAATGACTTTGTATGTGCGACTCCATCTGCAATACTTGTTGCAGTCGCTCCAGTATCACCATTGTAGTTTTTTGTACGGTTACATAACAATCACGCGGCGAGTTCTTCACCATTTCCATGAGAGCCTCATAAGCAGCAGATCTCAAATTCGCTTGAGCCCCATCTGGTCGATCAGTAGTTTCCAAAAGTCGTTGAATGATAAAATCGAAATATTGTGACATGCAGTACGTTTCTGGTTGATTGCCGTCTTCGCTGGCCTCAGCAGACTCGTAACTCGCTTCTGCTAATCCTGTAAATGCCCAACATACATTGGCAGCAACTCGTGGTTCTGCCTTCAATCCGTTCACTAAAGATTCTAACAATGGCTTCAGATAAGTTTCGTTGATTGCAGCATCTGGAATCATCTCGCATATGCGTCCAAATGTCCAAGCCGCAGTATCACGGACGACTACACTGTTATCGTACATCAGCTCGATGAGAGTTGGCATGGCTTGTTCCACTAACGGTTTCAATGTGGCAGGTTCTAAACCACCAAGAATCGAACCGAATGCCATCAGAGCCGCATCTCTATATCTCCAATCGGGACTTTTAATATTATCCTTGACAAAAGGAAGAACGAACGGAACAATAGCTTCTTCGCAGCACGATGACAACAACATCAAGCAAACTCCAGCAGCTTTTGAAGGATTCCAATCATCTTCGTCATCAAATTCTTCTTGCTTGGTCAATTTTTTCATCAACACTGGTACTAAATATTGTAAAGCTCCTTTAGCATAATGCCGCGAGACTTTTAGCGGTGGGCGACCTCCTTCTGATGCCTCTCCTTCTTCCATTGATAAGTCCACTTCTTCATCAGATACATTCGACCAGAATTCTATTCCTTGAAGTGCCACTTCATCAATATCAGATTTCATAGCTTCTAATGTAATCTAAAATAAAAATTCCATTAATAAAATATACACTATATTTAATATGTAATATTTTAAAGACAATTGAAATCCATACAAATAACACTTACAGGAAACAATGCTGGAGCCATATATGGTTCCATGTATTGATAATACAGTGACATAATTTTCACAAGACACTGTAACGCAGCCACTCTGATTTGAGTATTGGTAGACTGAGTGGCTTCACATACTACTTCCATTATGAAGTTTCGTTCCGTCTGTATATAGGATTAAAAGCAGTTATTTAGTTATTTATTGCATAAATTGTATCACAGTTGTATATAAAAATGATATTCACGTCAATGATAATATTAACCTCTTTTTCAAAGTTTCCTTTGGTGAACTCCAAGGAATTGTACAGAGCGCTTGTAGCCGCTAGTCGAACGTGATTTGATGTGCTCGAACCCTTCATACCGTGAATGATAGCAGTAAGAATCTCATTTGATTGTGATACTAGCACTTCACTTTCGATTTCTTGGCAGATATATCCAATAGTCTCTAAAGTAGCCTCCTTCATCATCTCGGTACTGGACGGGTTGACAACATTATTGACTAACAATGGAATTAATTCGCTCCATTCCCCGACTGCCAACTCGGCAACAGCTACATAAGCGACGCATTGTGCTGCAGAGCTTGGCCTATTGTTTTCTGTTCCCAACGCTCCTAAAATCTGCAAGAATAAGTATATCTCTCTGTGCATGAAGGAAAATAATTGATCAATATATTTAACTCTAAAAAATGTTACTTTTAATAATTTTTTATGATTACTATTACTATTATTATAAAATTTTCATAAAATGAAAAAATAGTTTTCTGACGATACATTTTTTTTGTAAAGAAGATAAACTACCTTGAAATTCCGATTAGAAGTTACAAATGTATTCCTTATTCCATAAAATACTTTTTTTTTTCAATATCTTACTTTTTTCAATATCTTATTTATCATGTTGTGAAAAATTTAAATACGAAATTCTTCTAAAATAATAAATTTTCCACCTTGGTAAAGTACAAATTCTAATTTGTAATATCAATACACATACACAAACCATATAATTTTTATTTCCAAACATTTTTTTAATGCGTTTTTTCGAAATATTCGAGGCAGGTAATGTACATGAGACACACACTATATATGGAGGTGTTACGACTGTCTTAGATGTTTTACATTGAAATTTGCTTTCGCGCCCCAGTGCCAAGGTTACTAGGTATGAAACATCAACTTCCCGCCAACCGCAACGAATCAACAATCAAAAGAAAGAAAATTTCGCCAATTTCTTCACTGCTGTGGTAAAAATCTATAATATACGTAACATACACTATAGATTTTCAGTACTGGATACAGCGGAATGTAGCTTGAGTTTTAGGATAAGGACATTGATGACATCACAGTTGGAACGATCCATTTTCATATGTTTTTGGATATCTTGAAAATTATTAGTACCTTATTAAAATTTTACATCCGTCTAAATTTTACGCTCTATACTGGAATGTAATCTTTTTAATACTTCATAACGCCTCCGTATATATGTACGTACACATTTAGCAGAATCTACGATAAATTGCACTGTTTATCGATAGCCACAAATAGCTAAGCTTTTTTTAAAAATATTTATAGCAAAATGTTATTTATATTTTTAGCACTTGACATGCTTAATTATAATTTTAATATTCTAAAAAAATTTTTTTAATTTTAAGAATTAAATATAAAAAACAGATTTCATTATATTATTCTTTTTTTTGTTGAAATAATTTAAAATAAAACATTTTAAGAATTGTACATTTAAATAATAACTTTTTCAATGTAATAATTTGAATAATGATTTAATATTCTATTTTTTCATATATATTGGACCTAAAAAAGTTTCGCTTATGACACGCCAACAAGTGGCCTCCTTAACAAATCTTTAAATTTGCCAATGTCACAAAATAAAAATTATAGAAGTACACAATTTCATCGTCACTTGCGAAAAATGTTACCTTAAAAAAAGTCATATTTAAATCATATTATGTCTAAAAAACAAGATATTGAAATAAAAAGGAACACATTTTATAAGGGATTTATATATTCATGACTTCTTATCGGAATTTCAAAATAATGCTAAATCATTTTATTAAAAAAATGTCATTATAAAAAATTATTTTTTGTATGAAATTTCTATTATTTCACTTTCGTTCAGAATTGAATCTTCTTACTATCTTATCACTTACCTATTTAAAAGAGTAAATATAAAAATAAAATTGAGAGTAAAGATATAAACAGATAATAGAGAAAAAAATAAAAACATTTCTATTTCATGTTCTGTTTCACTTCAAATAATATATAATTATAATTTTCAGAAAAAAGAATATTATCTCTATATAATAGATTAAAATGTTAAAATAATATGAGAAAATAGGGTAAATATGGCACTTCTTACATTTTTCTTGATATATTCCCTCGTTTCAACAGGGATAGTAAGCCAACGTTGCTGATATTGGAATTTCATATCAGGATCCTTGGAGGTAAGTTGGTTTTTGAGCTGTAAGCCCGCTGCCATGCGGGCAACGGGGCTCGCGCCGACTGTGACCAGCACGGCGCTGAGTCGTTGCACGAATTCATGCTGAAACAGACATACCACCGAGTATTGCAATTGAATACTTCTTGCACTAACATAAGATAAATCTCATAGATACAGTGGCAAATTTATACTCACGAGATTGGTTTCGGCCGCTTGCTGCAAGAAAGTCTGCGCTGCCACCAGTTCATTCTTGTCTGAAAATGCATAGACATATTATATTCGTATGTTCATAATTAATATTAAGAATATTAATCCTCGGTACAATTAGATCATTCATATCTTGCGCATTTCTTTTTTTTGAGATACTTGTGACATTTCTACCAACGTAAATTAACTTTAATCTCGGTTCAAATTACTCTTTATCTTTTTTAATTTCTTAGAAAAATATAAATTAATTCAACTGAGATTGAAATTAAACTACATTGATAAAAAGTGATATAAGAGTATATTTTGTTTCGTGCATTAAATATAATTGATCTGTTCAATGTTACCTAAGCATTACTTGTACTTTCTGCACTCAGTATTTTCACTTTCTTCCTCTTCAACGCTCAAATATATATTTATCTCATTTTAAGTGCAAAACTTTTAGGAATTTCAAGCAACGTGAATAGACATAATGTATCATTGTATTCTTTAATACTTGATGACTAACAAGAATAAAATGATACATCATGCATGAAACAAAATGCACTCTCCAGAATAATTAGTTATAACATTCATGTACAATTTTTTTAGTACACCTTATACATACTTTCTAAAGATTTTATTTAAGAATTATTTAATAATTTTTGTGAAAGTGATAAAAATTAACCTAAGGACGATCCGTCGTGTGTAATAAAAAATTGGAAAAAAGCATTACTAAGTACCACGTCAGAAATCGTGAAAAACCGTAGGTTAGACGAAAGCGAGGCGCCTCGCGATGCGTGTCGCGCCAATGCGTGCAAATATCAGCAACCGTCACACGGGACAATACTTTTCCAGCGGCGAACAAAGCGCCTAGCAACAGTACGACGGGGCGCGATCAGGCGCGATATCGTGCCTAACAGCATGCGAAATGGCTCACGGTCCCGTCCACGAGACAACGACGGCAGCCGTGTCGCTGGCAAAATTGCGCGATCGGCTAAGGCGGCGGCCGTCCGATCCGAGCACGTTGCGACGAGCCCCGCCGGAACCGAGAACGATGACGCGCACGCGGTTCCTCCGATATCTCTCTCATGTGCTCCAGATCGAGCTCGCCATCGCCCTCGCAGCCGCCGTCGCAGCTACCGTCGCCGTTGCACCCAGCATCGCATCGGCATCGCGCTTTCGATCGAGCGAAATCTCGAGAAGACGCCTGAATGAAAGAAAACGGCCCGCCGGTCCTCCGTAACGTCGCCACGACGATTCCGATACACTTACCCGACGAGACGGTCCTCTCGAGGACTTGGATCAGCTGCAACGTCGTCGGGTCCATCTGCATGGTTAACGGCGGATTGTTCTCGTTCACAGTGTGGTAAGTCACGGCTCCCGCGATTCGACGCGAGGAAGTTAACGTCTGCTCCCTGATACGAAAGTTCTCGTCACGACCGGCGGATATCCACATGTAGCCACCACCGACTCAACTGCCTTCGACGTTGCCCCCACTCTGACGTCCACTTCCTGCCTGGCGGGCCGATCGCCGTCCGTCTCTCTCGCTCTCGCGGTGCTCAGCTGCGCGATTTATCGCTCCCTCTCGTTCTCTCCTTCTGTACTCCGCCGTCGCGTTTCCTTCGCACAACGTGCGGCGTAGTAATATCCGGCAGCCTTTGAGATTCTCGCGCCCGCTGCGAACGAACCTATGATTACGTGAAAAACGTAACGCGCTGTTGACAAGCGATAAAAATTCAACATGATCGCGATGATTATCTCAGATACAAAATCGTCGTTGCATCTCTTGCCGTTGCCTCGGCGATTGTATCGTGTTTTCGCGAAAGCGGACTATTTTCTTATCTCAATGAGGAACTGCGCATGCGCCGACCGATGCACGCACGCCACCTGGCACTGCTGCAAGCAATCGCATTGGTCGTGCGATATCCCATTGCGCAAGATTGACCGTTGGTGGGTTTTTCGACGTTCTGTGACGTTTAAAATAAATTTTCCGCGCGAGTATCGCTTTTCTTTCATGGCACAACACTTAATTTGCAAACGTTCATTAAAATTTATTTATAAATTTTATTTGCTTTGTATAATTCAGAAACGTTGCAGCAATTCATTGAACAAGTCTTGATAATTGAATAGTTTGGATTGGTTGAGAATATTCGAAATAGATTCTGTATTAGCTATGGCTATGATCCATTGGCATGTGATCCATTCGGTGTTACAAATGCTTCGAAATATTTTTTGATTGATCAATTAGAAAAAATTCTTTTTTCCGATTGATCAATCAAAATCGAAGAGCGTTGCAGAGCCGAATGGATCACATACTATATATTGTATGTATCTGTCTCAGAAAAAAAATTGTCGAATCATTTCCTTATTTGACACAGGTATTTATTATAAAATTGGTTTCCCCTCTACTTTATTGTCTTGCAACATGTGATGCGACTCCTTGTTTCTCACTAGCATTTTTATTGTCCGATGTACTACAATACATACAGTCAGAGACGTGCAAAAAGAGTTGGCTGCCCGCGTATAAAAATAATTTTGCTGTCTCAGAAGTATACATATATAATTGTTTAGATGTAGACTAGAAAAAAGGAGACAAAGGAAGGAGTTACACTTTAACTTTTTTTAGTTTTAATGCTTAAATAAAGATAAAGAATAAATTACACATACAGTGTCAATTTCTATTTATGTAGATTAACCGTAATTTCATTTAACTTGTTTTTTATTTTTCTACTTTTAGTCCTTAAGAATTAATAAAAGATAAAGAATGAATTAAAATTAAAATCTATATATAGATAAAAATGGATCATTATAGATTAATTTTAACTTTATTTTTTTCTCTCTGATTCTAAAGTTAATCTAAATTCATAGAAATAGTCATAACAGATTAAAGTTAATGTTTATAGAAATGAACAATAAAAAAAAGATAATTTTAATGAAAACGCCAACGTTTAATTAGGGAATTATTTTCTCGGAATGAATTCCGATCAGAATTATTCATAATTTCCTTTTTATTGTATTTTTTAAGGCAAATAATTCCGATCGGAATCTGTTCTAAAATCCATAAGATGTACTCAGAAAGCTGTGATTTCGTCGCATTTATAATTTAATGAATCTCGACTTTGGCCGTCTCTGGCTAGGCTCGTCCCTGACTAAATTAATATATTATGAAAAATGATACAAATAATGAAAAATATTACAAATAAATCTTATTTTCAATGCAAAATTGTATTACACGCACGTTGTGCAATATTGCTGTAATTGTAAACATTGCAGAATTGCGGCAACGTTAAAAAGTATACGTCTTCTAAAAGATTCTAATATAACATCTTAACAACATTGTGTGATGTATTTAATGTAACGTTATTACGTGCGGTAGTGAGTGTTCTTTAGCGATAAACTATTGAACAAAGTTGAACTGAGGTCTAGTGGCGAGATTTAATGCTTCAACAACGAATGATTGCGATATGTATAGATCAGCGAAAATTTATCAGCGAACCATTACTCGATACAGTTAACTACTCTAGAAAGGTATGTGATTATTTTTTACAAATTATTTATTTATACTTTCTTATATCCATGATTTTTGTTATAAAATTTGACTGAAAAAAGCTCTTTAAAAATGTGCTAATAAAAAATTATTTTATACTATCAAAATAATTATGTAAGATGTTCAAGCAGATTGTTAGAATATTAAAATTTTTTAGCAACATTGCTCATTATGCTTAAATTTCCTACATAATTATTTGGATTAATTATTCCAACAAAAAAATGTGTGTACCTATTTAAAGATCCCCAATAAAAATACCTATTATCTCTCTATTTAAATTTTTAGTTAACTTAACCAAATTGTTCTTTTTATACAGAAATAATAAATCGCTTATTTATTTAAAAAGTATTATAATCACATATCAAAATAAAAAGATTTTAGTCAATTTTATTTAATCAACATTTATTATTATTTCATTAAATTTAAATTATTGTTATTAAATCTTCTTATTCTCTTATCTTTGTGCATATAGAAAATGTATTTTAAAAATAAAATTATCTTAGAGTGATTTTTCTAAGAATATTATAATTTCATACAAATCCACGATAACGAAGTTTTAAAATTGCTTGCTAATTTATAATATGGCATATCCATCAAAATTTTCAATATCTCTTGATTAGTCGACGATCAGAAATATTTTTTGTGATCATTCACATTCGTTCGTTATCAATGAAAACGATCATAAATAAAATATTACGTAAGACAGTATCGACATTTGCACTTTAATATTGTTCTTTCATATTTGAGTTCTACTAAAGAACCGGTGTGACGTGCTTAGAGCTGTACGGCCAGGTGTACACAATTTCGAAGAAGCAAGGATGGATTATTGTAAAAAGCTACCCTTGAATAAAAAACTCTTGGACGCATCATGAGACATGGGACTTATAAGTAGACTTAGCAAAAAAAAAAAGATTGAAAAAAAAGGGAAAGGAGATGCGAAGAAAGGAAAGAAAAAACTAGCCGGTCCGTCGTTTTAGTAGATTTAATGAAACGATATACAGAATACATTTGCTTTCGTAATGCATCGCAACGCATTCTCGCGTGCCTTACCATCTATATCACATGTCAATTTTTTTTATTTATAAAATATAATCGTCATAATTTCTTTGTTCTCGCGTCTTGCCTTTGAACTGCCTCTTCGTCGTATATATCGAAAGTATATATATATATATTTATAT